CTTGATCTTGGTGAGCATAATCTACTCACACCCTTCAGTACTTGAAACAAAGGACAACTGACACTGTCACCATCTTCCTAACCAGCCTGGGCATGGTTTGAAGGGAGAAGACAAAAACTGTGTCCAACAGAAGTAACACTGTTATTCCCAGAAAAGTCACATTATTCGGATTGTTAGTAATTAGGAAAATGGTGTCTGCACAGGAAGTAGAGTGAATCAGAAAACAAGAAAGATTTTGTGAAAATTTTCAAAATGTGTTTGTTTCATAACATCCAGAACGGATCCATTTTCCATGAATATTTTTGTGACACTTTTACAGGATTTTTTTACCATACAGTTTTTGAAATCATTACCGAAAACTTTTGTTTATTAAAAATGGTTTTGAGTAAGAAAACTTCATTTTTGGTAAATGAAAAACTGAGAACCATTTCAAAAACTATTAGGATAAAAATGTCAACAATATATTGATTAAACTATTAATAACAAATGATGTGAAAGATATTGCGAGAACAGAAAATAGACAATTTCCCCCAAAAAGTATTGAAGAGAAAAGGTCAAGCTTTCAACAAAACAGTTTAGTGTAAAACATTTTGACCAGCTTTAACAGAAGTATCGTTCTCAGAGTCCCTATATCAACTCACACTTAACTAACTTCTATATGGCCTTAGGTGGCCCTCTCCATTCTTTGCGGTAGATCCTCAAACAAATATCAACACGCGACTAGTGTTTCCCATGTAGACTTTCACCACCCAAATCCACAGCACACATCCTCACGTGTCAACCCTGATTTATAGTGTTGATCTCTATATAAAGCGTGATTAGCACTACTTGATGATCTAATATCAAATCAGCCCACAGAATCAACCACGGGAACCAGACATTAACAAAAGACAATTCGAAAACCAAAAAAACCTCCTTTGAGCTGTTCAGTTTCTAGACAAAAATGGGGCATCACAGAATTTTATGTCCTAAACTAGAGTAAAGCAAAGTGACAAGATTCCCCGCCCCCCCATGGATGCTGATGATGGGATTTTCCTGGGTCTCTGCATTGTCCTCTGTTTTACCTTTTCCCAGTACTCCCACGGACCTTCCATGAGGCCGGGGGAGGGAAATTATGTTGTAGAACCAGCACTCTTTGCAGCCCCAGCTAGACTTTGCTACACTCAGCTAGGTTGGAGGCTTAGGGCCCAAAATATGTGTTACTAGACTGGATTTAATTGGTGATTGTGTGCACCAGTCTCCACACACAATATCTATACTAAGAACTCTTTTATGCTTGTAGGGTGTGTAATTCACGCCCGGATAATGAGCTAACCTATGTCCCACTTCATTCCTGCTTCTGCCCTAAGCGTCTGATGAACGCGTGTAGAGCTCACCCTGGCAAACGTTTCGCTTCCCCCGTGTCTCTAGGACTAAGTCATTCCCCAAGTGTTTTGCAGCTGCAATAAAAATCTACCCATTATTTAAAAAAAAATCATAATGAAAGGTGCATTATCTAAAGCTGTGATGTTGTCTTCCGCTTTAAAAGGCAACATTCAGGCAACAATTAAAATAAAACAATAAATGACAATAAAGCAATTACATTAACAAAATACGATCATTCACTTTGATGATGTCACTAGGGATTTGGCTGTAACCAAGGCAACCAAATCTGATGTAGTAAATTCAAGCATCTCTTTATGTCCCATTGAGGAATGGATTTAAGCATGTGCTGAATATTAAGTACATGCTTAAATACTTTCCCGAACCAAGGCTTAAACAAGGGCTTGTTCCTGCACCCCAAACTCCCAACGGGGTGACCTGAAACACGGGATCAAGCCCTAATTTCACACAAATGCTAGAAAAGGCAAAGAACCACCAGCAAAAAATCGGCAGATTGAAATAGAAAGGTCTAGGTGATCTTCACATTCCTTGTCAAAGGAAAACTGCTGAATGTTAATGCGTCAGCAAACAACGTGAGTATTTATCATGACTTTTGAAATGTACCTTAAAAGAACAAGGTCTCTTTGGTAAAAAAGGCTTCTTTGGAATAGATAAATGAGGATATGTAATAAATATATGATAAAGATTGTGGCTAAGCAATATTTTGTTGGTGTTTTAGAGCAATGCCATGATTAAAGATCCATTTGAAACCCTCAAGTATCAGGGCTGAAAATCTGACATGACAGAGTGTGTGTGTGTGTGTATCTTCCAAAATATATTTGTATCAGTTTAGGCACCACATATGAATGAATTTTTTTAAAAAACACTCCAGGCACTTATTCATTCACTCAAATGGGCAACTGGCTTTGGTTATTTTAGGGAGGAGAAACCAAATTAAAACAATATTACCCAGATATTTCAAGTCTGAAAATTAGCTGCTGTACGTATAATGATAACAACACTCCCCCTTCTCCTTCCATCCAAGGAGTTCAAAATGCTTGAGAAACAATGATCTAAGAGCCCCCACACCACCAAATTCATAGAACACCCTAAAAATGGGTGTTCTGGAATGGGCTGCTCCAAAACCACAAACCCAACCAAACTTTTCAGAAAGGGAGGATCTGGATTTGAATTTATGCAGCATAGGGCACTCTAAAATTACTTTATTTAGTCCCTTCCCTTCCCTGGGAAGTTAGTAAGAATTTTCAAGCTCTATTGTGAAGAGGGATAGACAGACCGAGAGGTTAAGTGACTTGCTCAAAATTGCACAGTGAGTCTGTGGCTGGGGCACTGAAAGAACCCAGGAATCCAGACTTCTGGTCTCACTCCTCTAATCACTAGACCACGACCCTTGTCCTAATTACAGTAGCTAATTCTCATCGCTTTCTAATATGCCACTCAGTGCGATTGACAGACTGACTTAAACCTACAAGGACACAGAAGTTCAGAGCTATAGTTGCTACATCAGTGCCATGCTCGGTTATATACATCACATTCCCAGTGTACTTTGGAGAGAAGATGCTCAGAAACCCAGTTCTAAGGCACGATGGAATGTGTGATAAAGGGAAGTTAGCCACCTGCACTCTGAACTTCCATGCTTTGGTAGATTCAGTTCAGACAAGTGTTTAACAATCTTCTGCATGTAATGCTAGCAAGCTCAAAATTACCTTAGGTGCCAGGGCTAATGACCAGTAGAGCAAATGGAGCCTATTAGGAGTCATGTCCTTATTTAAAAAAATTACCCAGCACTTAACTTTTTGCATGAAATAAATTATAACATATCTAACTAATCTACTGTGGGAAAATGCTGAAATTATTGAAGGCTGGGGCCAAACTCCAATATGGTGGTGAGCTGCTGCTACATAGACACTGCCCCAGTAGCAAAGTCCTGCAGGATTTAATGGAGAACAATATACTTTCTATGGGATTGATCAGTCATCCTAAGATTTCTAGAAAAATGACCTCATTTTGATGTGGTGCAAATCCAGGTTAATTTCACTGAAGCCAATGAAGTTAGCCCAGTAAAAAGTTGGTGAAAGTGTTGGGGGACAGACCCTAAATTCTCTATTAAATTCTCTATAGGATGGTTTAAAAAACAACTACAGAAATGTTATTATTCACTGTTATATTCAATAGGACTTTGCCATAAAGATCAACCGAAATGCTGAGCGGGGAGGGGACATACCATTTTCAGGAGTTACAGTAAGAGGCAATTTTCCATTTTCTTTAATTCTTCGCTTGGATCCAACTCATCTCATTTCACTCATTTTTCTTTTCAGGTTTGGGTGATGTAATTTTATTCAGCTCTTGTTACAGAGACTGAAGGGGAAAGCACCACATTTTACTATTTATTATTGTGAGAGAGAGCAAAATTCACAAAAGTTACTCTTCAAAACTGCAAGTTTGTTATTAATATGGTCAATCAGCCCTGAAATGCTTCAGTTCTGGCTCTTAATTTGTTAAGTGCAGCTAAAGGTATTTTCTTTGATTACATCTGCAAATAAGATATTAATGTCAATGCAGTGATATGAAAATTGCTCCTTTCCCATGTAATTTGCACCTTAGTTATTATGGGTTTCATGAATAAGAATATTATAGCTGTGCAAAATGAGTTATGGATTTATAATGTATTTTTAATTAACAACAAAAAAAACCCCAACCCCCCCCCCCCCCCCAAAAAACCTACAACCCCTCAAAAACCCACGAGCTGCCTGTGCATAGGTTTTTATTAACCTTGGTGCAAATTTTTAACTCCCTGAAGAGTGCATCAATACGTCCCTTTTTTCCTGGAACTGTGACATCCCCCAATCATTCCTTTGCAATGACATTTCTCCACAAAGAAAAAACTGCGTGATGAAACTGTAGGAGAAAAGATGTCTGTCGTTTTTCCCTTTTGGGGGCTCAATTACACCTATTTACAACTTGAGATGAAAAATGAATCATTCCTGTTCCAGAAATGTCAGATATTTGGAAAGCCCTAAATGCTGAAATATGAAACAATTCTCATAGCTTGTACTGTAACTCCAGCTCTGGTATGTTACCATCATCCCCGAATGCCTGAGCCTGTCTCAAGGTAGAATTCAATCCAATGGGTGTCTTTCCATTGATGTCAGTGGAAGCTGGATCAAGACTCCATTGCTAAACTACTTGTTTGGAAACAAGCAGTGCACACTGGTCACTATGTAACTGCATTGGCCCCGGAGAGCCTAAGATCCTTTTGAGCATGCCCGAGGTGGCTATCATTAGTCATTTTCTTTGAAGCCATTTTGAATTTCTTTTTAACGCTTTCCAGCCCCCAAAATAATTAACATAACTTCTCAGTGACTATAGCTCTAGTGTATCAAAAGGATATATGTATGTACGTGCGTGCACATGTGTGTGTGTATGCAGGCTCACAACTTTCAGGGATGGCTCATACATAAATGCCTAAGCATCTGAGAGTTGGAAGCATCCTTACTGAATACATTTATGCAACAGCAAAATATAATATTATAGAAAAGAAAAAGTTATGAAACTGGAAGGGAATGGAGACAAGCGAGGGCGTAAGAAAAAGATATGGTCTCTATGATTTAAAACAAATCTGTGTCCCTATGATTTAAAACAATACCTATATAAAGGCCCAATGTCTCATGGCCAATGTTTGTATAGTTTATCTTGTGATAACAATTTCTCTGATTCTGGTCTTACACTTACATGCTGGTTTTACACTGGTGTAAGTCTAGTATTATGGAATCATGTGCAATATATAGCTTCCCACTGATGTCAATGCGAGTAGGATCAGGCCCTCACACCAGAGTAAGAAGAGAATCGAGCCCAATCATCCCAATTTTAATGTGCTTCTTAGGAGATGTGAATCAAATAGAGATAAACTTAGAAACTGCCTGCTTGTCCCAAGGCCTTCCAGCTTTACTTTTTCAATAGAGAATTAGGTCCTAGGCTGGAAAGGAGTCATGCTAAATGGAAAGGTTGTGCAATTCCCCCAACAGGCAAATATGGGAGTGTGGTGGTAGACGCTCAAAGGTCAGTGCTGGCCTTAGCGGTGAGTGCCTGGATCCGAGCTGAGTTGCAGGTCTTGCAAAGGATGTGTCCATCCAGAGGGTAACAGCCCTGATTGTCCCCTTCAGACAGGAGGCCACCACAGTCCTAGACAATAAACAGAATAAAGACCAAAAGAAGAAATAAGATGAGAGTGAAATTAGGCAAAGAACCTATCAGTGAAATACACACTCACGTCCCCTGGTAACAGAATTCTGCCCAAGTCAGCGTGTGAATTCTAGGATGTCTTTCATGACTGACCCATTCCCTGATAAGAGACAATGTTGCAGCAGAGATGGGCTCCCAAGCTCTCTAAAATAAAAGGAGATTATTCCCTTCCCATCTCTGGGAAAGGAAAGGACTTTAGCATTGTGGAACACATCAAACTTAAGGTCCCGTTTATTAATGCCAAAAGGAAAAAGAAGAAGTGAGCCTTGAAAACTAGTTTGCTGCTCATCTCTCTCTGTCTTTGGAAGAGAGAACTCCAGAAAGCAATAGAATACATCACAGAGGTGACAGCAGAGCCATGTCCTTGCAGCACGCCTTCACCGCTGTGGTCATTATTATTACACTAGCATCAAAGGTCCACAACCGAGATTGGGGGCCCATTGTGCTGGGGGCTTTACAGACCTATAGTAAGAGACCGTCTCTGCTCCCAAGAGCTTGTAATCTAAATACACAAGCTAAAGGGTGGAAGAAAGGCCAGAACGCCACCATAACCATCCGGCTTTTGTAAATGGAAAGCCAAGGCTCACGGCGATTAAGTGACTGCCCTAAGCTCACGCAGGAAGGTGATGGCAGAGCCACGAACTGAACTCAGAGACCTCGAGTCTCAGTCCCGCACCCGAGCCCATGACTGTGATCAGCACCTTTATTGGGACTCACGTCTTGTCCCAACATCTGGCTGGAGTTTATCCCAGGGGGAACAGCTGTATTGCAGAATTCTCAGAGGTTCAATATGCAACATGCGCCAAGGTGATTTTTCCTCTGTTTCAGATTCTTATCAAAATCATATGTAAAACATAGCTCAGCAAGGGCCACACATGAATGAGAATGATCATGTTTATATGCCAATTCAAATTTTTCAACCACAAGCTGTATGTTGATTTTCCAGCTAATTATTAACTTCATCTTTTTTTAACCCACTTATATAATCTTGCTCACATTGCAACATGCATTAGAGTTGATTTTAATAAAACAAATAGGAGCAACATTTGTGTCCAGGTAACGAATTACCCTATTCTCAAATATTCAGCTCTAATGATTGAGTCGTAGTCTCTTGCTAATGAATGAAGCCGGTATATACCGAAGGCCTGATTCTCCTATCATTTGCACCATCTATGTGTAAATCAGGAGTCACTGCTGCTGAAGTCAATGAAGTAAGGTTTAACGCAGAACCAGTGTGATAACAGGAATGTTCTCATTATTGATGTAAGAGAAGGTCATTTCTGTCAATACAGTGAACCCAATCTTTGCTTTCTTCCCTTGCCAGCAGCGGGAATACTGACCTCACACCGGTAGCACTGGACATGGAAGTCACGATCTAATGCCACAATGCGTATGGTCTCCTCTTGACCCGGGGCAGGCATAATAGGCTCCTTACACACGGAACATCGCGGTGCAAATTTCCTTGAAAAGCAAAGACGGTTCCAGTCAAACCCCAAGTGCACAGCCATGTTCTTCGTATGCTACATGAGAAACTTCGAACCCTACAGTAAACCGGGGCACAACACACATCTCTGCAAGCAGAGTTGCCTACTTGAAAAGGAAACATTAAGGGATGCTTATGAGTTCCTACAGAACAACGGCAGAGGCCTGAGAATCATATTCTGCTCGTCTTAATCATTTATTAAACAATCTCTCGATGACGTTGCTCATCATTGCGGTATCCAAGTGCAAGCCCCAGAGTGAGCTGGTTTCATATGCCTAATATAACACCATTTAAATCAGTGGAATTCCTCTTATGAATGAAGTTAGCAGGATTTGCCCCACCTGTCGCTATTGAAAAATATCAATACACTAGAAACTAGAGATGGACCAAGTAGGATGCAGTCTTAGATCCTGCCACGGCGGGATTGTTCTCTGCAGTATAATTTTCTTGGGTTTTATCCAGTCTTGTTTTAAAATCCTCAAGCATCTGGCTCCCACTACACCCACAGGATGTTAGTTTTAGCTCGGCTCAATCTGTGCACCGCAAAGAGAACTGCTAGAGCATATCTGACTGGTTCTCTCTCTCAACTACTTGATTTGAATCCACAATCTGGCAGTCACAGGTGAAAATGCCTTGGATGAAAATTCTCCTCACAAAATAGGAGGCCACCCTTCTGAAAACCTATCCCTAAGAACATACACTGGCTAATAGCTAAGAAGCTTAGAATTAGGGTCAATGGGCAATGCTCATGGCAAGTGCCAGAATATGAAGAGATCAAAGATTCTTCTCTTGTAAAATATCTAGGAAACAGTGACTCTGCCACCCAGCCTTTTATACAAACCACCCTAGAATTAACTCAATTAAAAAACATCTTAGCTGTAGTAGGAGTAAAGAAAAGGATTCATTTAGTTGGCAGCAGATACAAGGCGTTTTGTTAGATTGCAGCTACGCAGACATGAATTAAACAGCACCTTTGCTGATTGCTCCGAAAGAGAATTTAAATGGATCGTGATATGACCGTAGCTGTAATCACAGTTAATAATGTGGGGATTCAGGCACTTTCTTGTGCAATTCCGCTAAAATGTGCTGCTTAAAAATGCTCGAATGTTTCTCTATCTAGGTCACCAGAGGCAAAACAGCATGGGCCAATTTTCTTCCGCAGAGACAGAGAAATGACTCCCATTGAATTCAGTGGGAGCTGCATGTGTTTCTTAGGGCAGCATCTAGCCAATCATGTCTTGCAGGTGGATTTCACAGTTTCCATTTCCTCCTCACCTTTCAGGATAAGAACCCCAATAGCAGTTTCAAACGGTCAATAGAGCCGGTTGGAATTCATTTTTTAAACTTTTTTCACTTAAAAAATGGATTTTTCCCCCCTAAAAAAACTTTCACTAATTTTCTTTTTGACACAAAGTGAAAAACAAACACAATTTTTGTTTTTCTCTCCTCCCACCCTCTTTCCCCCTTTTTTTCAGTGGCAAAAAGGAAAAAAGGATGAAAACTGTGAAAAAAGAAAACCTGACATTTTCCAGAAATGAAAAAATTTCAGGAAAACATTCTGTAGAAATTTTCAAAACTAGTTTTTTTTTTTTTTGCAAAGATTTTTGACCAGGAAGATGTTTACAACATTTTTGAAAATGTTTGTGAATTTCTTTTGTCCCCCTCCCCCAGTTTTGTGTCCAGTGTTTAGGTTTACTGACTATATTTTTTGCATCCACAATTGCCTTCTATTTGTTTCTTCATGCCTCCATAGCTGTCAATACATCCTGAATGCTTCTTCTCACTCACTCTCTACCCTAAGGACATGTAGGTGCTCTGAAAGTATTTGAAAGGTGGGAACATTGTGGGAAGGAATCCTGTAGGGCGATACAGGGAGGTCAAATTAAACAAAGAGAAACTGAGAACATTGGATACATTTTCTTAATAAGCAACAGAGGGTCCTGTGGCACCTTTAAGACTAACAGAGTATAGGGAGCATAAGCTTTCGTGGGTAAGAACCTCACTTCTTCAGATGCAAGTAATGGAAATCTCCAGAGGCAGGTATAAATCAGTGTGGAGATAACGAGGTTAGTTCAATCAGGGAGGGTGAGGTGCTCTGCTAGCAGTAGAGGTGTGAACATCAAGGGAGGAGAAACTGCTTCTGTAGTTGGATAGCCATTCACAGTCTTTGTTTAATCCTGATCTGATGGTGTCAAATTTGCAAATGAACTGGAGCTCAGCAGTTTCTCTTTGGTGCCACAGGACCCTCTGTTGCTTTTTACAGACTCAGACTAACACGGCTACCCCTCTGATATTTTCTTAATAATTCAACATATTAGGCTGTGAAGCAGTGACCCAAGAGAAGAGATGGAAGTTTCATTACTCGCATCAGCTAAAACTGGGTGAAAGAACTGCCGAATATACTTCCGGATACAGACTCTGCACTGGTTGTAGATGGACTCAGTAGCCCAACTAGGTCATCTGCAATCCGCTGGATCTTCTCCCAGCCTCGTACCCAACCAATACAGGTCCTTTCCTTATGCCGTCTATTCTCGGAGAGTGAAATTCACCCATGGGTTGAGGAGCAGTATGAGGCTGAGTCACCATTTAACCCTTCAAGCTGGAAGGTACTTAGTTCTTCCTAAAGGATGTCAATCCCTCTCAAGGAGGAGGAACATCTCGCATATATCGACACATGGCATAGGGAGTGTAAGTGGGACATAATGTAGTGCCACTGCCTTGGCTTTCTGCTGGCCCTCTGCACAAGGGTGAATTTCACCCACTGGGCCATTTCTCTGGATTCTTGCTGGGACGCACACAGAGGGAGAGGTAACACACAGTGCCCTCTGCAGCTGCCAAATTACACAGATGTGTCTGAGCTTCAGGGAGCATTTCCTGCCGGAGTTTAACATTCTCCCATACGGAGGCTGCGATTCCTTTTGTCAGGTAAGTCTGCTGCTCTGAGCTTCCAGGCCCACACACTGATGTCACGAGTCTCTAATTAAGTCTGCCCCCTTAGAAATTAAAAGATAAGTGCTTGAGATGTAAACCCACATTAGTTAGTATTGATTTCCTCTTTTAATTGAGGGGTGTACCGTGCCTGTCTCTTCCAAGCTGGGGAAACATTTGTGCTTTGATTATATCTACTTATCTGTCTTTCTCAGATCAGCTGTGATAAGGGAAGGGATGGGGGGGAGCGACAGAAGCTACCTCCAGTCGTGGATTGCAGTGCACTTTAAATAGATATTTTACTACAAATTATTATTAGGAATGTTTTTCTAGCTCCTTGAAAGGCTAACTAGCAGATGGAAACATAAGAACATAAACAGAGGCGAGGGAGACCATTCCTTACCCATCCTGGCTAATAGCTATTAATGGACTTAACCTCCATGAATGTATCTAGATCTCTTTTAAACGCTGTTATAGTCCTAGCCTTCACAACCTCCTCAGGCAAGGAGTTCCACGGGTTGACTGGGCACTGTCAAACAGAGGAGGCAGCGAACCCTGCTGTGCTCTGCGGGCTATGAGCAGGGTACTGAGCACAGGGTGAGAACCTTGGCTTCAAGGCAACAGCTAAGCGGCAGTAGGAGGCTGGGGGAGGAAGGATAAGGAGGGGGGGTAAGGAAGTGCAGGGGGGTAGCTAGGAACATGAAATGCCTACATCATGCAGTCCGCACATAGGGCAAGTGGGGAACATAACATGTTAAAGAAGATCTGTGAGCACTGAGACAACCCTCCCCGGCAGGGAGACGGATGTAAGACAAATCCACACAACCACTCCCAGTCAATTAAGCTGGCATGCCGGAGGGTGTGCTTGCCGGCTCCCTGGCCTCTGGGGAATCGCAGGAAGAATTTACAGCAGGTCAAGATCGTGCCTAGGTAACATGAGAAGAGATTTTAGGCCTTCAGGGCCAGGAAAAGCCAAGAAGAGCCACGTGGGCCGTACTTGTGGAAATCCTCGATGCAGTGAATGTTCCCTCCGGCATCCACAGTGAAGGGGATGCCATCCAGGCTGCGGTGGCACATCACACAGGTGAAGCAGTGGGGGTGGTAGGCTTTCCCCGTGGCGCGCAGGATCCTCTCCATGATGGGTTTGGCACAGACGCTGCACTGCTCCAGTGTGTTCTGTAAGCAAAAAAAACAACAAAACACAGCAGGTAAGTATCAGTTCAGATATTTGCACAGGCTGGGATAGCAGCTGGTCTGCAAGGGAACTTGAGGCCCTTTCGTTTCACCCGTTTGCTGTGAGCACGGGATAGACAGCTGTCAGTTCCAGAACAGCTCGGAATCCAGGCCAGCTCCTGCCAATACCAGGTCTGGAACAAAGGGCAGCAGAGTCACTGGGGAGAACTGCAGGGTCCCGTCTGCATCCAGCCGCCCCAGCAGAGAACCCTGCTTTGGATTCATCGCAGGCGAACCCTGGCTTTTCTCTTCTGTGAGGGACAAACCAGTAACTGCATCCCCTCAGTGCCGCAGCACAAGGGACCAGGATTCAAGAGGGCACAACCAGCTAGCACAACGAGCCGAGGGCTTATTTAGAGTCAGCGTTTAAGGCCAGAAGGCACCGCCAGATCATCTAGTCTGACTTCCCGTGTCTCTCACCCAGCACCCGCACACTAAACCCAATAACCGGAATGAGATCAAAGCATAAAATCTCACAGGAGACTTGACTATGACGTGCCGCAGACAGAGAATGGGAGGGTCTGAGGCTCACCAGTTCTTGAGGATCCCGCAAAGGCAGGAAAATGATTAAGTGATAAAGTGATATATACCCTGATACGTGACCCACATCCACATGCTGCAGAGGAAGATGAAAACCCCCAAGGTTGCTGCCAGTCTGACCCGGGGGAAAATTCCTTCCCCGACCCCATACATGGTGATCAGTTCGATCCTGAATATATGTGAAAGAACCAGCCAAGCGCCTGAGAGAGAGAATACATGGTGTCACCTCAGAGCCTTGGCCCACCCGTCCAATGTCCCATCTCCAACTGTGGCAATCTCTGATGCTTCAGAGGAAGGAGACCAAAAAAATCTCCCAGAATACACTGGGGGACAAAAATCCCTTCCTGACTCCTGCAGGTGACCAGCGGAAGCCCTGAAGCATGAGCTTTAAGGAACATGAGACATAAACCGTAACTGAGCCCCAGGGTTGCCCTTTACTGTCAAAAGCAACCCCGTCATACGATCACACTCATACATTCGCCCTCTCAAAATTCATTAAGTTGTCTGTTCCAGAACCTCACCCCTCTTAGAAACTTTCTTTTAATTTCCAGCCTGAATTTGCTCATGGCCAGTTTATACCATTTGTTCTTGTGCAGCATTGTCCTTTAGCTTAAATAGCTCTTCACCCTCCTGGTGTTTATACCCGAGTGCAGAGGTTCTCAAACTGTGCTCCGCGAGCTCCATTCAGGTGGTCAGCGGATAGTTCCCTCTAAGGTGCGCGCCTGGGCGGCCGCACACAAAAGAATGAAGGGCCACCCACCTAACTAGTGGAGCTGCACAGACGTGGCTCCACGAATTAGGTGCCTGGACCCTGGAGAAGATGCACATGTGAGGTGAGGTGGTGGCCTTGGGGGGAATAGGGGTAGGTGGGAGGGGGCAGTGGGGTGAGAAGAGGGGGTGGGGGGAATTTGGGATGTGCAGGGCTGCGGCGGCCAGGGAAAGAGGCGATTTTCCCCAGCTCCAGGGCTGCGGCTGCCGGGGAGAGACGGCCTCCTTCCCAGCCTCAGCTCTGTGGTGGGGAAGAGACCACCCCCCCTTCTTCCCAGCCTCAGCCCAGGGGCTGCTGCGGCGGGGGAGAGAGGGCACATCCATCGCATTCGAAAGTTAAGACTACTGATATTAAAATATGAGTTGTGTGCTTTTATTTGTAGAACAAAAAAATGTTAATTCTTATTAATGTGTTTTTTTTATAGAGAGCTTTCATCCAAAGCGTTTTACAATAGTTAGCTAACGGTACAAACAACATTCGGAAAGAGCATTAAGCAGTCCGCCGAGACCCTCAGCAATTTTCAAGTGGTCCGTGAAAAAAAAAGTTTGAGAACCACTGATCTAGTGTGTTTATAGAGCACAACTGGATCCCCTTCTCAGCTTTCTTTTTGCTAGGCTCAACAAGCCAACCTCCTCCAGTCTCCTCTCATCAGACAGACCCTCCGCCCTCGGATCATCCTAGTAGCTCTTCTCTGCAACCGTTACAGGTTCAATTCAACTTTCTTGATCATGGCTGTCCAAAACTGTACACGGTATTCCAGATGAGGTCTTACCAGAGCCTGGTACAATGGCATTAATACCTCTCTCTCTCTCTACTGGAAATGCCTCACTGGCAGGGCTGGCTCCAGGCACCAGCACAGCAAGCAAGTGCTTGGGGCGGCCAACGGAAAGGGGCGGCACATCCGGCTCTTCGGCGGCGGGTCCCTCAGTCCCTCTCGGAGGGAAGGACCTGCCGCCGAATTGCCACCGCTTGGGGCAGCAAAAACCCAGGAGCCGGCCCTGCTCACTGGATACATTGCCTTTGTCACAGCCACATCACATTGGTGGCTCCTAGTCATGTTAGGATCAACCCCCGTCCTAAGGGCGGGCCCTTGCACTTTGTACTACTGAATTTCATGCCATTCTGACACTCCAGTCTTCAAGATCATCCTGATCTTCCTGCATAATATTTCCATCCACCTCTGTATTGACGACGCTTTCCCAACTTTGTATCATCAGCAAATTTCACTAGCGAACGCCTACTCTCTGTGAAAAGAGCATTAATAAAAACATTGAATAAGATTGCCCCCAAGACCAATCCTTGAACTCCACTAGAGATCCAGAGAGTTCCCCTTTACACACGTCCTGTTGCTTTCTCCCCTTTAGCCAGTCCTTTTATCCACCTTACAATTCTTGTACGAATCCCCAGGCCGTAATTTTCCATGTGGTGCCATGCCAAATTTGTCTTCTGCCCCAGCCATTTCAGTTCAGACAGCTCTAAATAATTGTATTAAAGGCTGTGTGTTGCCTACCTTGGTTTGTAGATTTTATGTATTGAACCAGCCCCATCATTGGGAGCACTGAAGCTATAAAGTGCTTTTCATTTCAAGGAGGCTCAGCTGAAAGATTCATTTCCCCCACTCCCCCCTGCAAGCATGTTATGTAAACACCGATATAAATCAGCTTCTAATGATTGTCTGTGCCAGACATGCCAGCCCTCCCAATGACGGCTTGCGTGACTACAGTATGTGAAACTCGCCTTTGCAAACCGAACACCTGAAACACGCATGCCACAAAGAGAGACGCATTCCATACAGACAGATGCAAATGCTAAATCTGTGAAGAAGCTCAAATGGTTTATTTTGCTGGAGCTTGGGACAGAATTCCACTTGCTAGCCTTGCTGGAAATGTTTGCCGTTATCAAATAAGAACCATATGTTCAAATCCTGGATGGTGAAGCACAGATGCAGGGAGGTCTGTGATCTTTGGGATAAACAGAAAAGAAAGAAAATCCAACAGAAAGGGAATTATAAAACCCCACAGATCAATATTTTCATATTGACCAACACCACATGGAGCCTACAGACGTCCTCCTGCATTCCTTGTGCACCCAAAACTCCCAGTGAAAACTGCCAGCTGAAAGGCTGCACTGTTACTGCTTGTCTCAGCCAAGAATGTCAATGGGCAAGCCCCTTCTCCTGACACATAGTGCAGAAGTACGCATGCAGGGCATGAATCACCAAAGACTTCAGAGGGGTCAAGCCAATACTGCCACATACGTCATTGGACATTACTTCCCGAGCGGCAACTGACTGGTAAGACACACACAGAGCTACAGCCTGCAACTCGCTTATCCTACAATGGCCAGAAGAGCCACAAGATTATTTTTGGAAGAGTCAGTATGACACGTCCTGGATTTCAACACATTGTGAGAACTGCCTACTTGTGGGGTGAAAAGGACTCGGTCTGACCTGGGGGCTTGTTCGTGGCAGGATTTAGCTTCATGTACTGGATACTTGTAATAACAGAGGTAGAAGAATTGTTCCTGGGATTTTTGTTTGTTTTCTGTCATCATCATGATGACAGTGACTGATGTACCAGAGAGAACAAGGCCTTCCACAAACAGATAATGTTACTGCAGCATTTGCACCGTTCCCTATATTTACAACAGGGAATGCTACAATCCTGCCAGTTCTGAGGAACATTATGCAATTAGCTAAGGAATTTTCCTTGGTAACTGCCTAATCGTTGGGCTTGGCCCCGATATGTATCACTAACTCGTTAATTGGTTGTTGCTGTTTTTCTTATGGCCTTGTTCAAAATACTTCCCATTCCATATGCTTTATTAAAAAAGGAAACTCTGGAGCGGCACAGGATATGTGGAATCGGGCCTTCGGTTTAGCAGAAGCTGACTTTTCCTGACTGAACTTCACTCAGAAGGAGTAAAATGAAGCAATTAGTTGGGACTGGATAGAGGAAATAAATTCCTCAGTAACAGAAGTGTGCAAACTTGAAGATGACAATAAGAATACCTGGCGTTTCCATCGCATTTTCCATCAGTAGGTCTCAAGACTTTTTATCTGGTCACAAAGCATCTACTCCCAAGGCAGCTGAAGAGCACACAATTAGCATTTGTAACTTTACTGCTAAAGGGCCCAAGCAGAAATAAAATAAAAGTAAATAAAAATAAAAGCGCAACCCAGGCATTTCGTGATTCCCCTTTTATTGATTTCTTGTATCCGATATTTTAACCGAAATAGATAGAGATGTCAGGCACGACCCATTTTCTCTTTAAACAGTCCATATCTCAGAGCCAGAGAATGATAGAAACAGCAAAACAGAACAGGAACTTCCTGTAGTGAATGGCAGCTGAACAGAGCAAGCGTCAGTAAATGGAATGCCTGCTTGCGAACACAAGCGGGAGCGTGACACAGGAGGGATATGAACAATTTGTGCCTCCACCCCACCGGCAGCTCTAAGCAGAAAGTGGGCCTGTTGGCATGGCACTAAGTGCAGGATTGGGGTTTTACGTATTATTATTTTTATCATGGCACCACCAGTGGCCCAGTCAGGTGTGAGACTCCACTATGCTGGGTGCACGTAGGATGATACAATTCTTGCCGTGAAGAGTTCACCATCTAAAGTCCCAATGCTAC